TATTTTGCTATTGTTATCATATATTATATTATAGAATAATAATAATAATAATAATAATAATAATAATAATTCCATGCTTTTATTAGGAAGTAATGACATTTATAACTAAGGAACAAAAATTGTGTTACATAGTGTTGTTGTGTATGTGTGTGTGTGTGTGTGTGTGTGTGTATATATATAGATAGCAACATGTTGCTATTATTATAATATATTCTATTATATATTACTATATTATATGTATATTATTATATATTATATGTAATATATTTTATATATTATAATCATATTTATTTTATATGAAATATATTTTGCTATTGTTATCATATATTATATTATAGAATAATAATAATAATAATAATAATAATTCCATGCTTTTATTAGGAAGTAATGACATTTATAACTAAGGAACAAAAACTGTGTTACATAGTGTTGTTGTGGTGTGTGTGTGTATATATATATATATATATGCATGTTGCTATTATTATAATATATTCTATTATATATTACTATATTATATGTAATATATTTTATATATTATAATCATATTTATTTTATATGAAATATATTTTGCTATTGTTATCTTATATTATACTATAGATTAATAATAATAATAATAATAATAATAATAATAATTATCATTTTTCAGTAGTATCTTGACCATGACATACACATTATAATTATTCCATGCTTTTATTAGGAAGTAATGGTATTTATAACCCAGGAACAGAAATCATAGTGTGACATGGTGGCATTTCCCGGTGGTTGAGGAGTCCCTTGAGGCCCCATCTGCGCTACCAGATTGATCTGCATTATATAGACAGTGTAGACTCAATATGTCCCAATGCAGAGCAGCTCAAACTGGGTGATATGAGTCTATGCAGTCCATATAATGTATTATTATGACAAGTGTTGCAGCCAGGGCCAAGTTACTTGCATTGATTCCATGAAGCAGATCTTGCTGCGTGCCCGCCACCGGTCCTTTCCTTCTCCTCCCAATGGGCCCAACTCAGAAGGTGTCCACGAAATGCAAATAATCTCACGCGTGGCCAATGTGCTTTGGAGGCTCCTCTCTCTGGGAGGTGGTGCCTAGCAACGCCTCCTTAGCAGCATCCGGTTGCTAGGCAACGGTGACTGCCTGGGATGGGGATGCCCAAGCCAGAGGAGACGCCTCCGCCTGGGGAAGTTACTTTTGCAATGCCCAGAATCTGCAGGTGGGGGTGGCTGTGGATTGTGTTTGTGCATGTGTGTGTTTCCTCCTTGTGTGTCTTTGTGCTTGCTGTACCTGGCCTCAGGTAGCCTGGTGAGAAAGGAATGGGAAGCTCAGCCTGATAGGGAACGACAGAGGAAGTCATTGGTGCATTTTGCTTAGACCAGATTTGAATATTCAAATGCGTTGGTGTAGGTGTCTCCAAGAGGCTGAGAGTTCATCCAGGGTCACGTTGGTCCTGCAGAAAGAACTCCGTGTGTCCAGGATCCTTTCCCTTGATGGCTGCCAATGAGAGAGAGGCTCTGGCTTCACGTTTCCCTCCTTGTACCACTTTCCTGGTGAAAACAATGCACCAAAATCTGCTCCTTGGGGTGGTTGTGGGTTTTCTCTAGCATTTTGTAGCAAAACAAGGAGAAATGAAGAGTGGAGGGGAATCCAAAGGGCATCCATTCTGACCCCTTGGCAAAGTCCCTCCAAACTTGGTGCACTCCCACTTTGAGTCTCCGTGTGGAGAGACAAATGAGTGTATAAGTAGTAGTAGTAGTAATAATAATAATAATAATAATAATAATATACATTATTGAGTCTCCACGTGGAGAGGAAAAGGGGGTATTAATAGTAATAATAATAATAATAATAATAATATAATACATTATAATACTAATAATGGATACAAAACCACTGTGAGTTTTTGTGGAGAGAAAAAGTGAAGTTAATAATAATAATAATAATAATAATAATAATAATAATACATTATAATACTAATAATGGATACAAAACCACTTTGAGTCTTTTTGTGGAGAGAAAAAGTGAAGTATATAATAATAATAATAATAATAATAATAATAATAATACATTATAATACATTATAATACTAATAATGGATACAAAACCACTTTGAGTCTTTTTGTGGAGAGAAAAAGTGAGGTAAATAATAATAATAATAATAATAATAATAATAATAATGGATACAAAACCACTTTGAATCCTTTTGTTGAGAGAAAAAGTGAAGTTAATAATAATAATAATAATAATAATAATAATAGTAATACATTATAATACATTATAATACTAATAATGGATACAAAACCACTTTGAATCCTTTTGTGGAGAGAAAAAGTGAAGTTAATAATAATAATAATAATAATAATAATAATAATAATACATTATAATACTAATAATGGATACAAAACCACTTTGAGTCTTTTTGTGGAGAGAAAAAATGAGGTATATAATAATAATAATAATAATAATAATAATACATTATAATAATAATACATTATAATACTAATAAGTGTGTAAATAAACATAACAATAGTATAATAATAATAATAATAATAATAATAATAATAATAATAATAATAATACATTATAATACATTATAATACTAATAATGGATACAAAACCACTTTGAGTCTTTTTGTGGAGAGAAAAAGTGAGGTAAATAATAATAATAATAATAATAATAATAATAATAATGGATACAAAACCACTTTGAATCCTTTTGTTGAGAGAAAAAGTGAAGTTAATAATAATAATAATAATAATAATAATAATAATACATTATAATACATTATAATACTAATAATGGATACAAAACCACTTTGAATCCTTTTGTGGAGAGAAAAAGTGAAGTTAATAATAATAATAATAATAATAATAATAATAATACATTATAATACTAATAATGGATACAAAACCACTTTGAGTCTTTTTGTGGAGAGAAAAAATGAGGTATATAATAATAATAATAATAATAATAATAATACATTATAATAATAATACATTATAATACTAATAATGGATACAAAACCACTTTGAGTCTTTTTGTGGAGAGAAAAAGTGAAGTATATAATAATAATAATAATAATAATAATAATAATAATACATTATAATACATTATAATACTAATAATGGATACAAAACCACTTTGAGTCTTTTTGTGGAGAGAAAAAGTGAGGTAAATAATAATAATAATAATAATAATAATAATAATAATAATAATACCCATAGTAATAATAAGGATTTTTGGAGAGATACCATTGGTGCTTCCTTTTGCAGATCCATCTCTTCTCTCTTTCCTTTAATATATAATTTTACAGTGTTTGGTGATGCAGATTAATGGTAACGATGGCCATTACGAGCAACATTCCTGTATTCCGCCTTGCACATTTCAGGCTACCTTTCTGGCTCAGTCTGGTAGGACAAAAAGGGGGGGGGCAGCCCTTGGAGACCTCCCCATTTACTCTGGGACCCCCCCCCCACTTCCTGTGTCTTCATTGCCTATGGCTGTGTTGTGTGGCGAAAGGGGAAAAGCCTCCTAATGCTCAAGGTGAGAGCAACGCCATGTGCAGAGGGAGGGATGCTGCTGACTCAGCTCACAGCGGGACCAGCACTCCAGCGCAAAAGGAGGGAGCCAGGGAGGGAGGCACATCAGGCACAAGATCATCATCTTCATCATCCTCATCATCATGATTGAGACCCCGCTTTCTCTCCCCACCAGGAGACTCAACACCGCTTTCCATTCAAAGCCTTCTGATACCATTTGAAAATCTACAAATGTATGCAAATATTAAAACAGAATTAAATATCATTGGTATTAAACCATCCCGTTGAAATCCATAAGAGCATATTCAGAACTGAAAACCACAGCACACACACACCCTCCCTGAAGATGGTGAGGAGGAAGATGAGGATGATGAGGATTTATTCCTACTGGTATGAAGGGTCCAAAGGCCATAATATGATATTTAATTCTGTCCTTACTTCTTTTCTTTCTTTCTGTCTTCCTTCCTTTCCCCCTTCCTTCCTGTCAATTTCCCCTCCTCCTTCCTTCCTTTCCTCCTTCCTTCCTTCCCTTCCCCTTCTTCCTTTCTCCTTCCTTTCTGTTCTTCTCTCCTCCTTTACTCCCTTCCTCTTTCTTTTCTTCTTCTTTCCTTCCTTTCTGACCTTCTCTCCTTCCTTCCTTCCTTCTTTCCTTTCCTTTCCTTTCCTTGAGTCCAATGGCATCTCCCCTTCTTCCTTTCTCCTTCCTTTCTGCTCTTCTCTCCCACCTTTCCTGCCTTCCTCTTTCTTTTCTTCTTTCCTTCCTTCCTTTCTGTCCTTCCTTCCTTCCTTTCCTTTCCTTTCCTTTCATTGAGTCCAATGGCATCTCCCCTTCTTCCTTTCTCCTTCCTTTCTGTTCTTCTCTCCTCCTTTACTCCCTTCCTCTTTCTTTTCTTCTTCTTTCCTTCCTTTCTGACCTTCTCTCCTTCCTTCCTTCCTTCTTTCCTTTCCTTTCCTTTCCTTGAGTCCAATGGCATCTCCCCTTCTTCCTTTCTCCTTCCTTTCTGTTCTTCTCTCCTCCTTTACTCCCTTCCTCTTTCTTTTCTTCTTTCTTCTTTTTTTCTTTCTTCTCTCCTCTTCCTTCCCTTCTTCCCTCCTTCCTCCTCTTTCTCCTTTCATTCCTTCCTTCATCTTCTTCCTTCCTCCTTCTTCCTTCCTTCCTTTCTCTCTTCCTTCCTGTCTCTCTTCCTTTCTGTCTTTCTCTCTTCTCTGTCTTTCTTTCCCCATCCTTTTTACTCTTTCCTTTCCTTCCCCTTCCCTTCCTCTTCCCCTTCTCCTTCCTTCTCTTCTTTCTTTTTTTCCTCCTTCTTCCTTCCTTCCTTCCTTCCTTCTTTCTTTCTTTTTTTCCTTCCTTCCTCTTTCATTTCCTTCTTTTCTTCCTTTCATTTCCTTTTTTCTTCTTTTTCCTTCTCTTTTCCTTCCTTCCTTCTTCCTTTCCTCCTCCTTCCCTTCCCTTCCCCCCTTGCAGGTGGCAGCGCAGGGGCCACGGCCGAACTTTCTCCATGAGGAGGGGTAGAAGATGCCGGCTTTGCCCGCGCTGCTGCTGCTGCTGATTCTCGCCTTGGCCCACAAGAGCCTCGAGGTGCTCTCCTCCCTCCGCATGGGTAAGCCCAGGGGGCAAGGGCAAGGGAGGGGGCTTGCAAAGGGGTGGGATGGATGGACAGGCAGCCCCCCCCCCTTAACCCAGGCCAGCCTCCATTCCTTATCCCTTCCTGTCCCTTTGAAGGCTGCAAGGGGCTGCGGCCGGACAGCTCCAGAGTTGCCTAGTGGTCAGCCCTCTTGGAGCCTCTCTTTGAGAGAGGTCAAGCAGGAGGATGATTGTGATAATAATAATAATAATAATAATAATAATAATAATAATAGTAATAATAATAATAGAATAGTAGAGTTGGGGGAGACTACATGGGCCATCTAGTCCAACCCCCTTCTGCCTTCATGCAGGAAAAGCACAATCAAATCCATCTTGATAGATGGCCTCTCTGATGATGATGATGATGATGATGATGATGATAGAGTTCATTGATTCTCAACCTGTGGGTCCCTCCCCAGGTGTTTTGGCCTACCTGACCCAGAAAGCCAAAACACCTGAGGGCCAACAGGAAGAGACCCACTGATCTAGTTGGAAGAGGCCATTTGGGCCATCTAGTCCAACCCCCTTCTGCCTTCATGCAGGAAAAGCACAATCAAATCCCTCTTGATAGATGGCCTCTCTGATGATGATGATGGAGTTCATTGGTTCTCAACCTGTGGGCCCCTCCAGGTGTTTTGGCTTACCTGACCCAGAAATCCCAACCAGTTTACCAGGTGTTAGGATTTCTGGGAGTTCAGGGCCAACAGGTAGAGATCTACTGATCTAGTTGGAAGAGGTCATTTGGGCCATCTAGTCCAACCCCCTTCTGCCTTCATGCAGGAAAAGCACAATCCAAGCACCCCAACAGATGGTCATCCAGCCTCATAGGTATTAGCAGGTTCATGGCGAAAGAGGGCTATCGACGCATAGAATCCTAGAGTTGGAAGGAAGGGACCCCCAAAGGCCATCCAATCCAACCCCCTCCTGCCAAGGAGGACGGCACCATCCGATCCCCCCTGACAGATGGCCATTTGACCTCGAGAGAAGACAGGCGAAAGAGGGCTATAGACGCATAGAATCCTAGAGTCGGAAGGAAGGGACCCCCAAAGGCCATCCAGTCCAACCTCCTCCTGCTGGGGAGGAATGCACCATCCGATCCCCCCTGACAGATGGCCATTTGACCTCGAGAGAAGGCAGGCGAAAGAGGGCTATAGACGCATAGAATCCTAGAGTTGGAAGGAAGGGACCCCCAAAGGCCATCCAATCCAACCCCCTCCTGCCAAGGAGGACGGCACCATCCGATCCCCCCTGACAGATGGCCATTTGACCTCGAGAGAAGACAGGCGAAAGAGGGCTATAGACGCATAGAATCCTAGAGTCGGAAGGAAGGGACCCCTAAAGGCCATCCAGTCCAACCTCCTCCTGCCAGGGAGGAATGCACCATGCGATCCCCCCTGACAGATGGCCATTTGACCTCGAGAGAAGGCAGGCATTGCACTGACGGTGGTCTGTTTCTCTGCCTCCTGTCCAGCTGCCATCTTGGATGACCAGACTGTCTGCGGCCGCGGGGAGCGCCTGGCCCTGGCCTTGGCCCGGGAGCACATCAACAGCATCATCGAGGTGCCGGCCAAAGCGCGGGTGGAGGTCGAGATCTTTGAGCTCCAGCAGGACAGCCAGTACGAGACCACCGACACCAGTGCGTCCCCCCTCCCTCCCCTCCCCTCGCTCTTTCGTTCTTTCTTCCTTTGGCTTCCAATGAATGTCACTGCAGGCCGTCCCCGGGTTACAAACACCCGACTCCTAGTTAAGAACAGGGCGGAGTCACCAGGAAGCGAGAGGAATCTCTCTTCAAGGAGGCACATCCACTCCTGGAAGAGATACTGTTGTTTGTAACTTGGGATGGCCTGGATTTTTGTGTCCTCAAGACGTGAGGATGTGTTGCCAGGTGACCCATCAAGCCCATGTCCTTCCCAGGCTGCACGTTGCAGCACCGCACATTTGCACCAGGAGCCCAAGTCCCAGGGATGTGTAGTTTGGGGACACTTGCTCCTCCCTGGCACAGAATCCCAAACGTCCGTCTCCCAATTGCAAGCCTTGAGATGATGCCCTGGTGACTTAATGTTAAACCAGTTGCAACCGTGCCATGCAAAGGGCCCTGGGTGGCATTACAACTCCCATTTTCCCACTGTGTTGGTCTTGGAGTGATAGGATTTGTAATCCAGACACATCTGGTATGAGACTAAGGGAACAGGGGTGCAAAGACAAACAACACGGGGCAGGTTTGCTTCATTAAAGCTGTTAGGAATATATGTATTGTCGAAGGCTTTCATGGCCGGAGTCACTGGGTTGTTTTTTCGGCTGTATGGCCATGGTCTAGAGGCATTCTCTCCTGACATTTCGCCTGCATCTATGGCAAGCATCCTCAGAGGTAGTGAGGTCTATTGGAACTAGGAAAATGGGTTTATATATCTGTGGAATGACCAGGGTGAGACAAAGGACTCTTGTCTGCTGGAGCCAGGCCCGTAGCCAGGATTTCAATTCGGGGGGGGGGGGCTGAGTTTTTTTTCAGGGGGGGGGGGGCTGAGTTTCGGGGGGGGGGGGCTGAGTCTGAGTGAAAGAGGGTCTAGTCTAGCAAACCTTTTGTATCATTACCCCAATACCCCCATGCATATGGGATATATTGAGTATGGTGATCAGATCATGATATGAATAAACATAACAGTTTAAATAATGCACCAGTAAGGCCTTTTCGCGAACCACTATGAGAATTTCGGGGGGGGGGGGCGAAGCCCCCCCAAGTGAGACAAAGGGCTCTTGTCTGCTGGAGCTAGGTGTGAATGTTTCAACTGACCACCTTGATTAGCATATAATGGCCTGATAGTGCCTGGAGCAAACTTTTGTTGAGAGGTGATTAGATGTCCTTGTTTGTTTCCTCTCTGTTGTTGTGCTGTTGTAATTTTAGAGTTTTTTAATACTGGTAGCCAGATTTTGTTCATTTTCATGGTTTCCTCCTTTCTGTTGAAATTGTCCACATGCTTCTATGATTTCAATGGCTTCTCTGTGTAGTCTGACATGGTGGTTGTGAGAGTGGTCCAGCATTTCTGTGTTCTCAAATAATGCTGTGTCCAGGCTGGTTCATCAGGTGCTCTGCTATGGCTGACTTCTCTGGTTGAAGGAGTCTGCAGTGCCTTTCATGTTCCTTGATGCGTGTTTGGGCAATGCTCCTGCATGTGGTGGTCCCTCTGGAGACTTTTTGTCCACAGCTGCATGGAATACAATGGTAGATTGCTGCAGAAGTGAGAGGATCCCTCTTGTCCTTTGCTGAACAGAGCATTGGTTGGATTTTTTTGGTGGGTCTGGAGATAGTTTGTATGTTGTGTGTTAGGAATATATTTTATGCTCAATCTCTGAGCAATGGATGGTGTGCAAGTATCCTCATACTCTAGCCGTACCTGATTAGAACGGCAAGCGGAGGCAAGGGTGGCCCAGGCTTCCTTCCACCCTTCCGGAAGGCTTTCCCCTGGCACTCTATACATGCCAAGTAGGCTTGGGCAATCCATGGTTCTAAATGGTTCTAAAGTACTTACAAAACTAAAGTTCTGGTGGTGAAAATTTCAGAACTCTAACAAAACTTTCAAAATTTAATTATTATTTCATTATTGGTGATTTTAATGACAGAACCAATTAGGAACTGCCATTTATTATGAAATTTTGAGAGTTTTGTTAGAGTTCTGAAATTTTCACCACCAGAACTTTAGTTTTGTAAGTACTTTAGAACCATTTAGAACCATGGATTGCCCAAGCCTAATGCCAAGCTCTGCACAAACTCAAGGCCTGCCACGCTCTCCTCCTTCTCTGCAATCTTCACTGTGATTCTCCCACGTAGATCTCGCTTCTTGGAATAGAATAACTTTTATTGTCATGGTGCTTCGTACAACGGAATTAAATGCCACCCCCAATACACTCACTCTATCTATCTATCTATCTATCTATCTATCTATCTATCTATCTATCTATATAAATGTAATGTTAGTTTGTGGGATTAACAGAACTCAAAAACCACTGGGGGAATTGACACCAAATTTGGACACAAGTACACCTAACAACCCAATGTATGTCCTTCACTCATAAAAACACTGAAAAACACAGCAGAAGGGACTTAAAAAGCCCCAAAAAGCTAAATGACAATACAGAAAAAAGGGAGGGAAGAGGGAAGGGGGAGAAAAAAAAAGAAAGAAGGAAGGAGGGAAAGAAAGAAAGAAGGAAAGGGAGAAGGAAGCATGGAAGCAAAGAGAAGGAAGGAAAGAGGTAGAGAAGGAAGAAAGGAGAGAAAGAGGGAGGGAAAGAAAGAAGGAAAGGGAGAAGGAAGCATGGAAGCAAAGAGAGAAGGAAGGAAAGAGGTAGAGAAGGAAGAAAGGAGAGAAAGAGGGAGGGAAAGAAAGAAGGAAGGAGAAGGAAGAGGGAAGCAAAGAGAGAAGGAAGGAAAGAGGTAGAGAAGGAAGAAAGGAGAGAAAGAGGGAGGGAAAGAAAGAAGGAAAGGGAGAAGGAAGATGGAAGCAAAGAGAGAAGGAAGGAAAGAGGTAGAGAAGGAAGAAAGGAGAGAAAGAGGGAGGGAAAGAAAGAAGGAAAGGGAGAAGGAAGCATGGAAGCAAAGAGAGAAGGAAGGAAAGAGGTAGAGAAGGAAGAAAGGAGAGAAAGAGGGAGGGAAAGAAAGAAGGAAAGGGAGAAGGAAGCATGGAAGCAAAGAGAGAAGGAAGGAAAGAGGTAGAGAAGGAAGAAAGGAGAGAAAGAAGGAGGGAAAGAAAAAGGGGGAAGGAAGGAAAGTTAGAGAAGGAAGGAAGGAGAGAAGGAAAGAAGGAAGAAGGAGAGAAAGAGGGGGGAAAGAAAGAAGGAAAGGGAGAAGGAAGAATGGAAGAAAGACAGAAGGAAGGAAGGAAAGAAGGAAGGAAGGAAGGAAGGAAGGAAGGAAGGAAGGAAGGAAGGAAGGAAGGAGAGAAAGAGGGAGGGAAAGAAAAAGGGGGAAGGAAGGAAAGTTATAGAAAGAAGGAAGGAGAGAAGGAAAGAAAAAGGGAAGGAAGGAAGGAAAGAGGGAGCAAAGGGGGGGGGAAGATGTAGAGAAAGAGGGAGGGAAGGAAAGAGAGAAGGAAGGAAAGAGAGACAGCAGAAGAGAAAGAAAAAGGGGGAAGGAAGGAAAGAGATAGAGAAGGAAGGAAGAAGAGAAGGAAAGACGGGAAGGAAGGAAGGAAAGAGGGAGTGAAGGAAGGAGGGAAAGAAGGAGAGAAACAGGGAAGGTTGGCCACAGCAAAGTTTGGCGGGTATAATCTATATAAATAAAAATGTAATGTTGTTTGTGGGATTAACATAACTCAAAAACCACTGGACGAATTGACATGAAATTTGGACACAAGACACCTCTCAGGCCAAGGAGTGACCATCACTCATAAAAACACTGAAAAACAAAGCGGAAGGGACTTAAAAAGCCCCAAAATGAAAAACACATTACAGCACATGTGCTAAATCATATATATACACATATACACACATACACACACACACAAAACATACACAGACTGGGCCACAGCAGTGCATGGCAGGGGACGGCTAGTGTGTGTGTGTGTGTGTGTGTGTGTGTGTGTATAAATGTAATGTTAGTTTGTGGGATCAACATAACCCAAAAACCACTGGAAGAATTGACACCAAATGTGGACACAAGACACCTCTCAGGCCAACAAGTGACCATAACTCATAAAAACTTTGAAAAACACAGCAAAAGAGACTTTAAAAGCCAAAAAACAAAAAAAATACATTACAACACAAAGCCACATATATAAATGCAAACACACATATATAGTAATGTATACACCAGAGGAAAATTCAGGTAAAAGAACTCCTTGAGGGTAAAATATCTCTTCTGGAAGTGTGTGTGTGTGTGTGTGTGTGTGTATATGTGTGTGTGTGTGTGTGTGTGTGTGTGTATATATATATATATATATATATATAAAACAAAACACCCATCCTTCCACATTCCCATTGCTCTTGCACAACACGTAATGCCATATCAGTGAGAAACCACAAGAGTTCAATGGAGTCACGGCTCTTTGCCTGTAACAACAGCAGAAGCATTGTACACATTGTCCCGCTTTGATCCTGGATCTGACCCATCATATATTGCATTGCGTCACCCATGGCGCCCCAACCTTGCGCCCTGATTGCATCGGACGCCAGGCATTGCGCTCTAGGGTCTTCCTCCCCTTCTGTGACTTGCCTTCTTGTTCTGACTCTGCACTGAGTTCCTGGAGATGGTGACACCCTTGGCTTTGTTGTTGTCCTTGCACCCCGTCCCCTCCCTGCAGTGTGCCAGATCTTGCCCAAAGGCGTGGTCTCGGTCCTGGGTCCGGCGTCCAGCCCGGCCTCGGCCTCCATCGTCAGCCACATCTGCGGAGAGAAAGAGGTAAGTGGTCATTGCAGTGCTGCCCTATTGGGGGGGGGGTTGGTCCACCACGTTTAGGTGAGCCCCCAAATCTGGACCCTTAGAAGAGAAGAGTTTTCATTGTGCACCGTACAACGAAATTAAACACCACCCCCAATATGCATTATTATATACATATAATTAAAAACAAGAACACCCATGCTTCCCCATTCTAGTCCCTAGAGCACAGCCCCTCATGGCAATGTATTGGTGAATGGATGGATTGAATGATCAATAGATGGGTTGGTGATAGAGAAATAGGTAGATGATAGAGGAAAGATACCGGCGAAGAGACAGAGAGAAGGAGAAGAGAAATGTATTGATTAATAGATGGACAGGTAGGTAGGTAAGTAGGTAGATAAAGACACAGGTGAAGAGATGGAGAAAGAAACATTGGTGGATGGATAGATAGATGATAGGTAGGTAGGTAGATAGACAGATAGACAGACAGATAGATAGAGAAAGATACAGGTGAAGAGATGGAGAGATAGAGAAAGAGAGAAATGTATTGGTGAATAGATGGATAGGTAGCTTCACACAGGTGAAGAGACGGAGAAAGAGATAAACATTGGTGAATGGATGGATGATTGGATAGATAGATAGATAGATAAATAGATAGATAGATAGATAGATAGATAGATAGATAGATAGATAGATAGATAGATAGATATACAGGTAAAAAGATAGAGAGATGGAGAAGAGAAATGTATTGATTAATAGATGGATAGGTAGATAGATACATGGATAGATAGATAGATAGATAGATAGATAGATAGATAGAGGCATAGGTGAAGAGACAGAGAAAGAGATAAACATAGATCTACAGGATGGATAGATGATAGATAGATAGATAGATAGATAGATAGATAGATAGATAGATAGATAGAGATTCAGGTAAAGAGATAGAGAGATGGAGAAGAGAAATGTATTGATTAATAGATGGATAGGTAGATGGATAGATGGATGGATAGATAGATAGATAGATAGATAGATAGATAGATAGATAGATAGATAGATAGATAATAGACAGATTTATAGGGGATGGATGACGGATGGATGATGGATAGATAGATAGATAGATAGATAGATAGATAGATAGACAGGGAAAGGCACAGGTGAAGAGATAGAGAGATGGAAAAGAGAAATATATTGGTGAATAGATGGATAGATAGATAAGTAGATAGATAAAGACACAGGTGATGAGATGGAGAAAGAGAGAAACATTGGTGAAGGGATGGATGGATGGATGGATGATAGATAGATAGATAGATAGATAGATAGATAGATAGATAGATAGATAGATGAAAGACACAGGTGAAGAGATAGAGAAAGAGAGAAATGTATTGGTGAATGGATGGATAAATGATCAGATAAATGGGTTGGTGGATTGAGAAATAGAGAAAGACACAGGTGGATGGATAGAGAGATGGAGAAGGGAAACGTATTGGTGAATGGGTGGATAGATAGGTAGATGGATGGATAGACAGACAGATAGAGAAAAACACAGGGGAAGAGATGGAGAGACAGAGAAAGAGGGAAACATTGGTGGATGAATGGATGGAGGGATAGAGACAGCCTCTCCTTAAAGACCTCCATGGAGTCCTAGAGTTGGAAGAGGGATGGCGTGGGAAAGCGTTGCGCTTGAGGTGCCTTGCCTTGCTTTCCTTGCAGATCCCGCACGTGAAGGTGGGCCCCGAGGAGACCCCCAAGCTGCAGTACCTGCGCTTCGCCTCGGTCAGCCTGTACCCCAGCAACGAGGACGTCAGCCTGGCTGTCTCCCGCATCCTCAAGTCCTTCAACTACCCCTCCGCCAGCCTCATCTGCGCCAAGGCC